TGGTTTTGATCAAATTCATGACTACTAAAAGGTCTCAGTTCAGTTGTCATTTCTACCATGATGATTCCAAATGAATAAATATCTATTTCTTGAGTGTACGCTTCTCTTTGAAAAAGTTCAAGAGCAATGCAAGGCAAGACACTATGAATATGTTCTTCGTGTTCTTTCTCATCAAGTAGTTTTGATAAACCTAAATTGGTAATATATGCTTTGTAATCATCTTTTAACCGGATTTAAATCTTGATGTAAATATCTTTCATCATGAATACGATCAAGATTTGATGATTGGATATAATATCATGAAAGTATCTTTAATTTAATTTTCCATTCAAACTTAAAGATATCTACAAGATTTTAAATCATCCTTCTGGTAAATTTTTCTGTCGGCATTGATAATGATCAAAAGAAAAATCTACGATAGAAACAATAAAATTAAAAATTCCAATTCCAAACTCGAGACAATTTTTAATATCAGGATCCACTCTTATCAAGTTGAGACATTGGTTTTCCAGAATTGTCTGATAGAACCTATAGAAAAATCTGATTGCTAACACCAAAATTTCTGATTTCATGTTATACAAAGCGAAAAATCAACTTTGTGTAGCCTCAAATGCAACATAAGACTATTAATCTATAACAGGTTTAAAAAAAAAAAATCCAACTGTCTGTCCCGAATTTTGAAATCCATGTAATGCAAAACAAAAAATCAACTTTGCGTAGCCTAATCAGTTTACTAGAATTTTTATTTACTAACCAAATTATTATAAATCAACTAATTTTTAACCTTATTCTTAATCATAGGGTCAAAGTATTCACATTAGCGATTTTTTCTGTGAATCTATTGGGCGTCTCAAACTTTCAGAATACAAATGTTATATAAATGACTTACTTCCTGATCACATGCATCTTAAATATACCCAAGCATATGTTGCTATCTATCCGGGTGTAAATCATGATGGTTGGTGGACAGGTGATGATTTATTTGATCAGGTAGTTAATTGCACGATCCCAATATTTGAACGAACACACTCCAGCAAGATTGCTCTATTTATGTTTGATAATAGTAGCAATCACGGTACATTTGCTGAAGATGCCCTTTTGGTCTCGGAAATGAACATGGGTGATGGTGGTAAAAATAGAAAAAGTGAAGATAAAAAACCTCTTCATAATAGTAGCATGCCTGATGGTTCCGAGCATGAAATAAACTATATAGATAGTGAAGGTGTAAAAAGGCCTAAGGGAATTAGGCGGGTTCTTCAAGAACGAGGTTTATGGAAACAAGGCCTTTTAAAAAAGTGTAATGATTGTAAAAAAAATAGGCCTGATCCAAACAACCTAAACTGTTGTGCTTCGCGCATTCTTTTAGCTCAAACCGATTTTGCAACTCAAACATCACGTATACAAGAGGTAAATAAGTTTTTTTTTTTTAAAAAAAAAAAAAAAAAAAATTATTTAAAACTATTACTTACATGCATATAAATAATTTAGCCAATTGAAGCTGCCGGTAACATGTGTATCTTTTACCCTAAGTTCCATTGTGAACTTAATTTCATTGAGTCTGTTTGGGCCGAGGTAAAACGTTATGTGAGACTTAATTGTAATTACACCTTTAAAGGCCTCAAAAAAACAGTTCCAGAAGCACTGGATTCTGTTGATTTAATAAAGGTTCACCGTTTTGCTTGCCGTTCTCAACGCTTTATGAGTGTCTATGAACTTGGACTTTCTGGAAAGGCTGCTGAATTTGCAGTAAAGAAATATCATTCTCATTGTCGAATTCTAGAAAAAGTTCTTGAAGAATTCGATGAATTCATACATAACTAAAATATTTTGACTTTTCTTTCTTTTTACTCTGAAAATATATATTTAAAATTAATATGTATACATATTATATATTGAAAATAAATAAATGTCATGTAAGATCGTGAAATCTAATCTTAATACTTATCTGTTCTAATCGCTATCCACATCAGATTTTACATATTGTTCAATTTCTTTTTTTTCCATCCTTTTGATTGTTTTGAAATTATTCAACCTCATAATCGTGTTGATAAATTAATCTATTAAAATGTACCTGTATATGTATAATTTTTGTTAATTTTAAACATAATAAGAATGGATTTGAGATATTTTTTAGTGATTTTATCTTCTTGTGTCACGCAATAGCTTTTCAATAGGAATTAGTAAAGTGTTTTCTGATCAAGTAACGATTTTATGAGATCTATGTAAGTAGAATTTTATTAAGTCCTAAGTAATAAATCTAATAAATTAAGCATTAGAGTTAAGATTGAAATAACGTAATTTTCTCTGATTTTTGACATAATTTTGTGTAACTTTGGGCATAAAAAATTCTCACATGGAGTACAGCATGACACCCTAAAATATCATATGTAAATAATTAGTAAAACATCACATATAATTAGTAATTTCTATGTGATGATTTAGATTCACAACCCTGTACCCATGTGATTGTTTAAATCGCACCCCGTGCCCTACCTAGTTATATGTATTTCCTTGACTTTTTCACTTTTACGTATTTTCTCGACATTTCTTGAAACTTTTTTCGATTAACAAATTTTTTTATATTCGTTAAGTTCATAAGCATTTACTGTTTAATCTTATTCTACGTATTAGGGCTTCAAAATTAATGATTTAGTACGTATCTAATTTTGATAAAAAGTGAAGTATGGATCTAGAACTTTTATTTTATTTTCTAACATTGATTTATAAATATTCGAAAGTTTATGAATATTTACTAATTTTATTCTATTTTCAAATAGTTTCGCAGAATATTCACGAAAAAGAAATCGAACTATTGGAACTATTAAAACAATTATTAAAACAATTGAATTAGGTTGATATCATACTATTCTCAAGTTTTCTTCTTTAGTGAAGTTTTTTAGAGGCATATTAAATATTAATAATTCAAAAATAAATAAGTAATTTATTACGATAGTATTATATAATAACAATACATCTTCAAATCTCCGAATAATTCCTATTTCATTTTCTAATTTAAAAATTTCAAATCTAATATTTTTAGCTTCAAGATTTTCCCTGTTATTGTCTTTTGGTGCTTCTCAACATTATTGATTGATGTTTCTACAAACCTCATAAACTTACTATTATTTACTTCCTTTCTTCAGATTTGACATGGGCAAGAATGAGCAAGATGCCGGCTCTGTGGCTGCTTATATTTGGTGATTAGGCTCCGTGGCTGTCGTAGGTTGTAGTAGGCTGTGCATACAGTGCAAGGTCTGTAGATAAGTAGCACCATATTACTACATAATGCAATTCTCATCGTAGCTATATTAATATGATTCCTTCTTAGCTGCGTTCTCCTATCAATTAAAACATGCTAATTGTCTACAGCCTTAGGAGTCCCAAACCATACATAAACAGATAGTGCATAACTTCAGAATTAGATCATACGTATTAAAAAGATTGCATGCCCGATCTGACATACCTGAGTTAAGTTTTATGGTTTACATTAGTGATTTTATGAAAACTGAAACGTGATACGTAGCCTTTATTCTCTTTATCATGCTAGAATTACAATATGCGGAAGGTCATTTTGAATCACACTCGCCTCCTGTAAACTTGAATTATGCTGAATTGGTTGCTATTTCTTGAGCATACTACCCCTGCTTAGCGCCTTTTCGATTTGTTGACTTTTTTTTTTCTAAGTCTTTTCGATTTGTTGACTTTTTTCTAAATCTTTCAAATATGTCAAATATTTAAATACAGAAAGAGAAGTTGTTGGTGTCGAAATAGAACGTAATCCCCGTTTAATAGAAAGGATCTTTGAATTTGATATCATAGATATATTAAGAAGAATGCGCTTTAGAAGAGCCGAAGCTTTAACAAGGAATATGCAATATATGCACACTGGGTAAGTTTTTCTCATTAATTATTTGTCGAGTCATAGTATATCCGAAATTACGCTGCTATATCTGTGTAATGAAATCTAATAGAGAATTGAAAGCTCATTGTGGTGACTATTTTGATAGTTAACGTTCTTCTCTATTAGTTATGAATGTTCCTGTAGCTTAATTGGCCATCTCTGCATTAGAGAGGCACTTTCTGTATTGGAAAGTGTTCTTCTGGAAAGTTGGTGAATAGGATATACTCTGGCATTTGAGCATGTAACTGTAGACTATTCCGGCCATGCGTCTTTGTTGGTTGATAATGTTGACACAAATATTTACTATTTATTATTTATTTTATAGCGGTCCTGGTGATGGGGGTATAGATATTATATACCAAATCGCCGGGATTACCTTTGTAATTGAATGTAAGAATTACTCAAATTCGCATTCAATACATAATTAATTATTGTTTTTTTACTATATATAGTAACATTTTCTAAGTGCATGTTTTTAAATTTTTTAGGTAGAGAGGTCGTCTTCACACATGATACCGTTATGCAAAGATATACTCATAAAACTGGACGCTCTGCTATTGGCATCGTAGTAGCTCCTTTTATGAGTTCATTCTCCCCTGCTGTGGTGAAGGCATCTAATCATTTTAGTTCTTTGGTCTTTTTGTCAAGTAGAGACAGTTTTCGTTGGTGCGTTCTTTACATAGCCAATAATTGGTGTTAACATATTTTAAATTTCTTGTGTATACACCTTTCTTTACATATTTTTTTAATTTCAAATCCACCAAAGTGTGGTACATGGGTCACTTGAGCATTGACCTCTGCATGGTGTGACCTGGATAACCAACCAACAAATGCTCATTTTTCTTTCCTCACTATACATGGGTGTCTAAATTATTTTTGAAAAATCGTATTTTCGGTATTACTAAATTTTTTATATGAAACCCTTCATAATAACTATATTATATGATATATTTTGATAAAAAGAATTCAAAAAATTTTCGGCTGGTAATTTTTTTGGTATAATAAATTAATAAAAATTGATATAATACTGTAATATATATGTAATTTACAATGTGACTAATATAAATAGAAAATTATGCGCATCTCTTGTTGAATTCAAAAAATAGGATATTTTTAAACCAGGTTCACTAGCAAATTATTGAAAAATTTAGAAGGCCGTTCAACTTGAAAAATTGCAAAACACTTAGGTGTAAGCAGGTCTTCTATAAGTTGGGTTCTTGTACATTTTCAAAGATATGGTTGTATTGAAAACTTCCATCGCTTTCAGGAAAACCACGTTCTTTAAACATGAATGATATAAATTATCTTCAAGTTTAATGAAAGAAAAACTTTGGTTGGAACGTAATATTAGTCTTACAATAATTTGGACCAACTTGGATATATACACAAAAAGGTAGTATTTCATGTATTAATAATACATAATTTTATTTTATAAGCTTTTACGTAGCAATTTTATAAAAGGCTCTTTCATATTAATAGCTCCTAATTTAGGCTCTTTCATGTTAATAATATCCAATTCAGGATCTTTTTCACTATTAATTTCTGAATTAGTTGCATTCACTTCAGACAAGTCAGGTAACTCAAAAGAATTTGTCATGGACGATAAAGATTCTTTAATTGTTATAAATCATTAAATCATTTCATTCACATTAATTATCTATTTCAGCGTCTAAGTATGAAGAACATTTAGTAATA